AAATCTTATAAACCTTTGCATATTGTTATTATTATATTGAATAGGTTAGGGTATACATTCATAATAATTTTATAATTTTGAATATTTATTAATTTATGATTGGAAATTTTTTATTGTTTCTCCTTAAGAAAACGAAATTAAAGAAAAAAAAAATATCGTAAAGATAATTTTACCCTAAAACTCAATGGGGTCTATTCAATTTTATTTTGCTTTGATTTCGAATTTTTTCTTGTTTGCTTACCTCTTTTTAAATTAGAAATTCATTTTTCTTCTACATATAATTTATTGATATATTTAATTAAGATTATGGTACTTTTATTATTTCAGGCTCAGATTTACATTCTTATATAATTTGAAGTATTCTTAGCATTCTTAAAATAAAAATTTTTCCTAAAAATGATTAATTCTAATGATATAGAATAGTTATGTAGTAGATAGTCTAGTAGCCACGAAGATCAATACAATAATAAATTATAATAATATTGAATGTACATTAATTATTTTAAGAAATGTCAGTTATTAATTAGTCAATTAAGATATTAAATAGCTACTTAGCTACATTTCTACCTATTCATATTAAATTTAATTTATTTCCTGCAATATTTCATGGCTACCTCAATATTAAATAGTTAATACACTCTACATACAGGTAATTTGCTAAAATTTTGGAAATTTGTTAATATTCGGTTTTAGAAATTTTTAATCATCTTAAGAATAACTTGCCATACACTAACTAGCTCTCATGTGAGAAATAATTAATGTACGGTACGGTATATTTATTTCATTATAATTAATTTATTAAGCTAAATTCAGGAAACGCTACCTGTATTTTACGGGGGCAGATTTATAAAAAGAAGTTTGATATTCTAATAAAATTTAGTTGTGCATAAGTTTTTAATATTATCTTATTATAAGCATATATAATTAGATTATTATTGTTACCTTAATAATAATCTAATTACTTATATGCTTGTTTGAGAACGCATTCACTATAGGCAAAGTCAAAAATTTTCACGATATATGCAGTTGGATTTACTAATTTTATCGGAGCTGTATGAGTCCTATGAATAAATTTAATAAATATAAGCTAAGAACATTGTATTGATATCTCATAATTGCTCTATTACAGCTCTATCTCTTAAAAAATGATTAAGAGAATTTTAATATTACAGAAATATGCTCAGTTGACTATTAACTCCTTCCTCTTGTACTTACTAAAAATAAAATTAGTTCACAAAATATTTTTGGATATTCGGAAATATTTTTTAAATAAGCTTGAGCTCGATTTCGAATTGAAAATTTTAAAATAAATAAACCAATATTCTAATATAAAAATAAGTAATATAATTTATAGACTATTTTACTATCTGAACTTCTTTTCACTCATACAGACTGATCGTAAATATATTATTAAACTATTATTTATTTATAATATTTATAATATTCTTTAAGCCATACTGATTTTTAACCTAAAATGGTTTTGTGTTTTTTAATTAAGAAAAAAAAATAAAAATAGAAAACTTCATCAAAAATATTTAACCTCGTCAATTATAATTCTAAATTTTAATGGCCTAATAAAAATTTTATATTCCGCTTTTATGTTTTTTAATTCTATTTTATTTCTAATTATATTTAGAAAATGAATACTTATTTTTCGTTAGACTATAAATTTTTTTTAAGTTAGTTTATAACAAAAATTTTTAATTTATTGCAGAAACAAGTTAATAGAATAACTGTGACGCCATGTATTATATAAAAAGTTATTAAACAAAATCTATAATATTTGTTTTAGTCTGATTAAAGAATTAATTATTATTAGAAGAAGATTTGACAGTCTTCAAGTAAAATATTCTTCCAAGTTTATTTATCTAATTATTTGATAAACAATAGCATTTACATACAACGTATTAATTAATGTGGTGAATTACAATTAAAATAGTAAATTATATGTATTTACAATATTTAAATTTCATATTTTTGGAAAATTTAAATGTATTTTATTTCTGTCAATTTTAATACGTGATTTAATCCATTCAATAAATTTAGCTAATCATAACTACATACTCATATTGTATATGCACATAATAATTAAGTATACCGCTTAAATATATTTAATTTCTTTCTTTGTTGCATATTTCATGAAATTTCAATTTAAATTTAATTACGTATGCACGAAGTAGTTGTATAAGTAGCAATTATTGTTGTCCTAAAGATAGAGAAAGCAGCAATGTTACGCCAAATAAAAAAATATAAAAATTCCAATTTGCGAACTTTAAAGTCATGTGATTCCGAAAATTGACAAGATTATAATTAATTCATGAGAAAGCTCTTCTTTTCAGTTTAAATACCTAAAATTTCAGAAAGTAAAAATAAACGGTCGAGTTTGAGTTTAAATCCCTGTAATTTTGAAAGTGTTGAGTTGTGAACATTCTATTCATACAAAAGTTTTAATTACCTATGATGCTCTATATAATGGTATTTAGCAGTGTACACGAGAGACCCTCGTTACTAGTGTACCAAATTTTGTTTAGAGCAGTTTATTCGAATCTAAATCCGATTAATAATAATTTATTTTCTTTTCTGTTTTTAATAAAGTATAGAGCCACAATGGATTGACAACAAGAAGCAACTAGAAAATTCAGTATATTTTGAAATTTTTGCTGTACTTACTAAATTTTTTCTAAGTAATATCGAACAGGAGAACCACGTTATCTCTATTATTTTTATTACTTTATTGACTAATTTTCAAATCCTTGAATTATTAATTTTTGTTTTCTATTCATTTTATTAATTTTTAATTACAACAAGTTGTTTTGCGTTAGAATTTTTTTCTTTTTGAATATTCAAAAATGGTTTCTTTCTCGATGGCAAATTAAATATTTAAATCTAGTTCATTAAAATAAAATTTGAATTTTTTTGACCCCCGCTTTTTCTTCCAACAAAAAAAAAATCAACTTTAATATTTTTTGCTTATTTATTTTTATTTTGAGATTCTTCTACTCTCTAACGAACTATTAGAACCTAAAACTTGGCAAGAATTATTTCAAATCTGAACTTGAAATGAATCTAGTAGTTTAAAGCTATAAAAATTTTCTTCATCCAGATTTTTTCGAAATAATATAAAGGCACTAAACTAGATGAGGAATGCAATAAAATTTAAGTTCTTTTTTAAGGTAAAAACGAGATATGGAAAAAAAAGAGGAAAACCAAAATAAAAGAAAAATTAATCGTAAAAATATTTTTTACTACTTTTTTATTGACGGAACAGTTTATTTTTCGATATAATATTAAAATGAAATCAAATTAAAAATAATAAAATTGATATAAAAAAGAAAATAATTAGCATATACGTACGAGTATTTTTGAGAGGTAAGCAGTGCCGGAACTAATATCCAAATTATATTTTGGAAAATTAAGAAAAGATTGTGTCCAGTACATGTGATATAAATTTGTTATGAAAACGCTGGATTTGACGAAGTAAATCTTAAGTGATTTATTCAATTTGAAATTATTTCAGTTCCTAATTTCCAAATCAATTTCTAATTTTAATCCTTTAAAATGTTCAATTGGGGATTTTAAGTTATTTGACAAAACCATAGTTACTATAAGAGTCAACCTAAGTTTTTAAGTAGCATTCTATCATTCCATCATAACGAAACTATACGTTTATAATTTTAAGTAATTCATTCTTAGTAACTAATAAGTACTTTATTAATATTAAGTTAATTGATCCATTAATGAAATGTCAGTTAAGTAAATAAGTACCTATTTATTAGGTCTAGTATTCCATGTGCTTAAAAAAATAACTTTAAATCTAATTTATATTCTCAGTTACATGCACTTATACATAATATTAATATATAAATTCATTTGAATTCATGTAATAGCATCAAATAATTTAAATTTGAAATATATAAGTAATAAAAAATTATATTAGAAATTGATGATGTGACGGCCTTTCACCATATTCTTGAATTCAACTACTTATAAATGACTTTTTGATGCTTTTTATCGCAGAGATCTCTATACCTACATAGTAACATACGTATATACAAAATTGAAAGTAATATATGTACAGAAGTATGTAAACACTTAAGTATCTTTTATTGTTATATAAATTTAATTTTTATTACATATATTTTTATTGAAATATTGTAAAATGATGCTATTAACTAAGGTGAGGGCTTTGTTGTAATGTTACCTATAAGATACACAAGTAGTAGTTATGTGTTTAACTTTTTTATTTTTAAATTTTTTATTTCTACTAATTTGTATTTTTATTTTATTGAACATATTTAATAAACAAAAGATTTTAATATAAGAAATATTTATTTTCAATCAAATTTACAACAGTTGAAATGTGTGGTGATGACTCACTATCACACAATTTTAGTGTTATTTTTTTTTAATATTAAAGTTATTAGAAGAGTTCAAGTAAGTTCTATAAAATTTTTAAGTTATTTTTAAGCCAACTAAACTATTAATAATAAATTTTACTTATTAAAAAAAAATATGTAAAATTAATTGCGAAAAAACATCGACTAACAATCAATGCAAATTAATTGTGAATTGTACAATTTTAAATGAATTTCAAAAAAAAAATTCAAATAAAACGTTGTTCGAGTTCAAAGTACTTTCTTATTATAGCGGCTTCAATTGTCTACAAAGTATACTTTAATCGTTCTACTGCAGCTAGGGAAGCTATTTGTAAAAACGTATTTGAATTGCAGAGAATTAATAAAATTCCAAAATTAGTTTATACCTACTAGTATCCTCCAAGTATATACTTTAAAAGGATATACTTTCTTCATATTTAATTCTTTAATTTCTTCAATATTAAAGAACAAAAAAGTAAATACATAAATTAAAATTGGTTTTGAGAATGGTGTCTAAAAATATGAATTTTGCTTGAAAGCTAATTGAAAATTCTCAAATTTGAATTTGAATTTTGGCATATTTTAATTATTTTAAATAATAAATCAACAAAAAATTAAACTCACCAATTCTTATTTAAAAATAAGTTAAAAAAAAATGAAGTAATCCAAAAGTGTTATGTGAAAATATTCCATATGCGATATTGATCTTTATAATCCATAGTTTGTTATACACGCTGTTTTACAAAAGCAGCGAAATAATGAAACAAAAAATATTTTTTTTTTTATTTTTAATTATAATTAATCGTTATACTTATCGATATTCGAATAAGTAATAAGTTAATAAATGATTGAATTAAGAGATTGAGAAGTTGAAACACGACGAATAATTTTTAATTAATATTCTGTTATACACTAAGCAAGTGTAGTAAACTTTTATATTTTAATTCACATACATTTATAGTTGTTAATTATTATAAATGTTATATTATTTAATATTAAAATTTTTTTATTTATTTAAATTAAATATCACTCTTTAACATTTCTATTTTAACAATAAATTAAAAATACTTTTTATTAGTTTGTGTTTTTTATCAAATATTTCATTAATATTTTTTTACTTATTAAATTTTTAATTTCATTTTATGATATATTAAATAAAATCATTTTTAATTAATTTATAATTAATATTAAATTTACATTTAAATTATTTAAAATAAACAAAAATCATAAGATTTTTCAATTTTCTTAAAGTATTAATAATTCGTTTCTTTTTTTGTTATAAAAATAGTGTTATAAATCCGCGCATGTACGTGTACATGCATAAGTATGTATGTGTAACTATTATAATATACTTAATTAAAAATAATATATTCGTATTATTAATTCACATATCATATACAATGTTATAATATCTTATACATATATATGTATATTATAATATATAAGTATGTAGAATACACAATATGTGATAAAAATCTATTGATAAAATATTATAGAAAAATTGAATAATTAATTATTTTTTTTTTTTTTGGAATTTCATTAAAAAATTATACATAAGATTTTTTAAGATTTTTGTTGAAAAAAGTTTATTCACCTTTTAATTTTTTTTTTATTTTTGCTATTATAAATTTCCTTTTTTTTTTTGTAATTTATTTGAAGTAAGTTGTAATAGGTATGTGTTAAAAATTTATCAATTAAATTTTTATTCACGATAACACTCTGTACTTCTGATTTACTTTTCAAATTTGTGATTCATTTGTAAATATTTTTATTAAAATTCAAAAATCACAAAATATAATTTTATTTAATAAATTTATTAATATACAACTTTCTTTACTTTTTTAATTTTTTAAGTTATAATTTATATTTTGTAAATTTTTTTCTTTTAAAAAATTTATAGGTAGGTACATAAGAATAATGTTCACTTTATAGTGATTTTATATGAACACTCATATAAATATTAGGTTTTATCCAATTTGTTTAATTTATTTTTTGAAAAAAAACTTTGTCAAAATTTTTTCTTTATCAAATATTTTAATATTTTTAATATTTTTATATTATTTATATGCAAAATATTACCGTAAAACAGTGCCTCTTATAATATTAATGTCAACATTAATACCCAATAAATATAAATTTTATTGAAAATCTCCAAGAAAAAAATTAATAATAAGTAATATTAAAATATTTTTCGTTTTTAGCACATTCCCAACAACAATATTGAAAAAAATTGGCTAAATTTTGGGAAAGATGCACGAATGTTTTTGGCTAAGAATGAAATTCGATATGTTTTAGTGAGTATTTATCAATAAGTGTGTTATAAAATCCAAAAAGAGAGAAAAAAATTTATTTTTTTTTTTCTTAAACACAATCAATAAATTTTAAAATGTAATTTGATAATTTTAAATTTCAATAATTTTTTTCCCGTTTTGTCGTTTCTCTTTATTTTTTTTTTTGTTTAATTAAATTCAATATATTATAATTCACAGACGTATTTAGTGAAATGTAATGTCGTAAATTATAAGAATATATAAGTATGTAAATGGTATTAATATTGAAACAAAAAGAAAAAAACAACACAACACATAACACGCTCTCAGTATAATAAATTAAAAATAAACAAAAAAAACACACTAAAAAGAATAAAATAAACCGTTTTCTTGTTTTCATAAATGTTGCACTACCATTGCGCAACAGGTAGTTTCACGATATTACCTTTTCACTGTTTTTTTTTTTATTATTATTATTCTTTTAATTTTAATTCTGTCTCATTTTATCTCTCTCTACATTTTACTCTTTCTCTTCCTTTTATAAATATTTAAAATGCAACTTTTAATGCACCACTTATTGCATAGTTGTATTTTACAGATTTTACTTACATACATACATACATACTATGTATGAAAATTTGTGCACTTACATACATACACTTATGTACATATGCTGTATGGTATGTACAATAATTGTTGTGTTAAAAATAAAAATCAAAAAATTTGTAATTTGCTTTTTTCCTTTTACTTTTTTCTTACATATTTAGTTTTAATTAAAATTTTTAACTTTTCAAATTTGAGCATTTGAAATTATTATTTTAAAAAATAAAATATTAAAATATTTAAAATTATTTATTTATTTATTTTTTCTCTTCACAAAATTATATTAAAAATCTCATTTATATTAGGAAACAAAAAAAAATGAGAAGAAAAAAAAAATTAACAATACACAACAAAAATAATAATTTTTTTCAGTAGTAGATGACGCTACCATTTAGCTCCCATAGTAGTCAAAAAAGTCATTCACTGTATCCGAACTCTTCCTACTCATATTTATTGTATATTAAACTTAGAACGAGATAAATATATTATTTTTATGTATCATAAAAAAAAATTATATACATGCACATATGGAGTCAAGTAACTATTTTTTTTTCTATTCTCTTTCTTTGCTCAAATAATCTAAAATTTTATTTTTGTACGAATTCAAATAAGATATATACAAACACACACATATATATATATATATTTATATGTATATGAGTATTTTTAATAACAATATTATTAACTAACAAAAAATAACCGTGCGTTACAGGTGTTTAATGTACGATAAACTCTTTAAAACTGAAGAATATAAAAAGTTTGTCGGGCGCCTAAACTTAGGTAGCAGTAAACGGTTGCTTATATTATGTATGTTTGTATATATAAAAAAAAGTAAAAAAAAGAAAGAGCATAAAAAAAGGAATCTACATACAAACATAAAAACTAGTATGAAAGGCAAAACAAAAATCCTAAAATAACTGAGATATAAAAATTCAATGAAAAAAAAAACGAAACATACGGTCTTAAAATACAAAAATAAGTCAGAGAAGTCAGCAGAGTTAGCTATTTAGTCTTGTTATGTTTTTTTGTTTTGCGCTTGTTTTAAATGAATGTTTATTATTCTCAATTCAATCTCAATTCAAAATTATTTAAGAAATATTTTCTCTTTTAACAAAATTTTGAAATAAATAATAACTTTTCTCTAAGATTTTACTCATTGAGAATATTATTGGTGTTGTCAAGTTTCTTTAAAATTCTTTGACTGTTAGTTTAATTAATAATTAATGAATTTAAGGTGCGAAATTGAAACATAAACCAAAAGTATTGGAAGTGGGACACTGAAATATTTTAATTATTATAATTAATTTTTGTTACTTTAAATTTTATCTTGAACTATTAAAATCTAAAACATTTCCTAAAAATATAAAGCTTCCAACAATACAGTATTTCATCAATTTACATCAAATTATTTAATACAATTTTAATATGCTTATTAAAATTATGGTAAAAAACTTGATCTTATTATAAATTTTAATATGCAATATTGTTATAAATGCTTGAGTTGCTATATATTTAAAACGTTGTTATGCTTTGATTTGAAATGTGTTTGAAAAGTATTTGGCAACGCTAGTCGAAATTTAAAATTTTTTGATCTGAAAAACTTAAGAGGCTTATCACTTTTTTTACCGACCATATTGTGTAAACAATAGGTAGGTTGTGTGATGGCAACAAATTTTGCATATCGAGTTTTCGGTGGGAATGCACTTCGCTATAGAAGGGAAGTGTAAATGAACTATTTTTAGCAAACTGTCGGTCTGTGTGTGCACGCGTGTATCTCAAGTTCGGCTGAACCGATTTTGATGAAATTTTATATGTAAGTTTATTTCCACTATGGCACGGGTTGATCATCTTTTGGTATATATCACGCCTCGGGAACTGCACTTTGTAGCGGGCCTGTTTTACATTTTCGAACCTCCTTATCAGACGTCAGCAACTGCACTTTCACTACGGGCCAAATATATATTTTTGCGTATATAAAGAGAAATAACCAACCGATTTCATTGAAATTTAATATTTAAATTCTTCGTATTAAAACAATGAACATATAAATTTTTTGAAAAGATCAGGGTTTGAAAACTGATCTGCGGCCCAATTTTACATTTTCACTATATCTACGGAACGAATTAATGGAATTTCTTGAAATTTGATATTTGAGTTCTGGTCGTTACCGAAACTAATTGGCGAGCCTTTCAGTGAATTCAGGTAGCACAAAGCGAAACTCTACTAAGAGCCAAATTATATTTTTCTAGGTATGTTAAATATAAGCTTACTAATGCCCTAAAAATTGGAAAGAAGTGTTTAACAGACATTTTTATAATATTCTGTAACACTTGCACTTAACTAGATAATACACATTGCGGTCGGTTATGTGCTGATCACATCAGATATTTTTATTTTGTTCTACAATATATTAAAGCGGAGTCAGAAAAAATATTTTTGTAAGTTCAAGAAATACACACAAACTAACATAAGATCTTTGTAGATTTGCACATACTATATACATACTACTGAACTGAGTATTGACTACTAATCCATTTGATGTCTGTTTATGGACATATATATTTAAATTTATACAGGCACTAGGCAATAAAACATACTTATGGCTGTAAGAGAGTAGAATACGAAAAGAGTATTTAACTCAAGAAGTGTTAGTGAATTTATTTTCTCATTTTACCGTGTTTAAAAGAGATATTTTACTATAGCAAATTTTTCATTTTAATCTTTCGATTTTCGAACGTTAAGGTAGAAACCTGTTTTAATATTTTTTATTTAAAATTTTAGTTTTCGAAAGCGAAAAGTTTATGGCAAATACCTTTTATTCTGATAATATTGTTATATTATTTTTGAATTGATTTTTTTCACTTTTTTAATAATTGTGATTCCTTTATTGTAAAACTTGTGTTAACTCAGGCGAAATATTGCTATCCATATTGTTTATGAGGAAATTTTAGCACACATTTAATTAAAATCTACATTTGTGTTTAACTGTTATATTTTTTAACCATAAATAAAA